GGCCACGAGAGCTCTTGGCTCGCTCCGTTCTTTTGTGGACCTTCGATTACGCAAGGTCGCAACTTCCGAGCAGAATGATCCGGGAGAGGAATGTGTCGGAGGGTATCCTCCACCGGAAGAAGGCGAGCTTCGCATGTGGCAACGACTCTCGCGGTCCTACTAAGGGATTCCAGTGCTGGTACGCCGTCATCGCCTTCACCATTCCGGTGTGTTTCGCGACGAGGTTGATTATCTCCTTCGATGCCGATGCGAAAGCTCCGACGAGAAAGTCGGAATTCACGCACGGCCCTCTCGTGATGATCGATCTCCTACTCCGTCAAAGTAAGGAATAAGCGGGCCGCGCAGAAGAGAAAGAGGAGTCGCTTCTGAATATCTTCTCGGATTCTTGTTTTGAAGTTTCCCCTCGTGGAATCATTCTAGCTCATCGATTACTTTCCCTGTAGATCTCTCCGGCTACCTCGTAGTTTGGTGGTAAGGTTGGCTTTCCACACTGTCGCTTTCAAGCGTCCGACGCTACGAAAGAGGTGTTACGACCCTGCCACAGCTTGAGAGAGCACTCCGTCGTGGGAGGATGGCGAGCGGAGCGGTGGATCTTCCTCTGAGCTGATCGGAGTGAGCTCATGAGCGAACATTCGAAGGATGAACTTTTCCGCAGATGTTACTCTGCATCTGATCTGTGGATGGTTTGCGTCTCATACATGGCTCTGTCCGATTCGTCTACTCTGATTATCCCCTTTGCATGAGAAGACTCCGCCGAAAGCGAACGAATTCTCGGAGCAACTAAACCGGTCACAACAAAGAATCCCTCACTCTTCGTGAAGAGCGCTGAAGGAGGGCTGAAGGGAGCAGCGAGGTTCAGGTGGGAATCCCGGCGGGGAGAATTGTCAGTGCCGGACTGTACGTGAAGTACCTGGGTGATAGGATTAGATCCAAAGGACAACCAGGCCCAAAAGTACGAACAAGGACGCTGCTGCTCCCCCCGATCGGGGCCACGGGGAACGCGTCCCAAGCAGGGAGAGGGAGGGACGGATGCCTCGCGCACCAACCGAGCTGCCCCGATTCGAGAATCTTTTGGATACACGCTGAACTCGAACTCACCACTGATCTAGGATTGAATGAAAACACCCTGATCGAACAGGCTTGCGATGACCGACTCTCGATGATTATTCCCGACCCCCCTCAGGCGCTTGTTTATGAGAGGAATTAGCGGAATTAGTGGAATAAATTAGCGGATGGGATTCCCCTCTGCGGAATTTCGCTGATGCTGGCAAGAGACTTGTTCGCTGCCGGAATAGATCCGTCGCGAGATCCTGGGCTTGGGAGGGCTCTGTCACGGAATCGCGAACAGCAGCAAGTCTCATCGATGGTTCATACGGAACTTATACGAAGGTGTCGCATTAGACAAGAAATACGGGGATCTCAGTCAGTCAAACTTATCTCCAGACTCCTTTCCCCTGTCATTGATAGGATGAATCATGTCAGGACAGAGCGCGTCGGAAGTTCTCTCGAACTCCGAGCCATAGGAGCCGATGCATGCTTCGGGCATCCGATATTCGGCTCGGGCGATTGCGTATTCCGGGCGCGTTGCGGGATTCGAACTCTCCCACAAAACACGCAGCACCGCTCATGCAGCGGATACGACATCAGCGCACGAGAACAAATTCTTGCGCTCGATCTCAGCGTGCGCTTACACCGTGTTGTGATCGAGGACCGAGATTGCATGGATGGGGAGGCAGCAGCAGCAGCGAAGGACGCGTGCATGTAATGGTATCTTTGAACATTCCGCACGCGTCCGCCGATCCGCCTAATGGTTCCGCGCACGGAAACTTTCACGGAAGGATAGAACTTAAGCAAATCGCACAATCGCGTACTTCGGATGCAACTCATTCCTATCTGGAAAATTTTCAAAGAGAACGCGTCCATTTCTCAAAGGAATAAGCGACCTTGGTTGTTCGAACCAATGCTGCTGCTTGTTGCCATACTCCTGCCACAGAGTTCCCCGCGGTGCAATTGAGAAAAACTTCTGCAATAATCAGTGGATATCGAGTTCCTTCAGTCGAGTTATGCCTGATGAAGAACGAGCTACCAAACGACGTAGTCAGTTCCACCGAGGATCTCGATCAAGGATGGCGGGTAGCGAGAGTGTCGAAATATGTACATGTCTCCCAACTCGCAAGGCTTCTCTTGGCTCTTCTCGCGGGATCGGAATCCGGAGCAGAGACCGCAAAGGTATCTCGTCCTCGAACACCGCTCTATCGAATCCCGCAATCTGAACTCAGCCACAGAGAAATGCCTTTTTGGCAGCCTACAGGGGAGAGCTCGACAATTTTCCCCCAATGGAACTCGAGTCTTGCACACCCTGAGCGTAGCATGTCTCAGAAAGCCGCGGGCTCATCAGGTCCATCAACAGCAGGAGTCCCTCTCTGCGGAGGATTCGGATCCCGAGAAAAAAAACTGAAAACGTGAAATACAGGATATAAGCCATATTGTTCCCTCGGGCGTACGATAGAAAAGCTATCAGGGTGAATCCATGGTCTGATTGGCTCGAGGATAAAACCAGCGGAGTCGAGCGAGAAAGCGAGAACTCTCACGGCTTCGACTGCGGCACATCGCCGCAATACCGTTGCCTGGGCTGTCGGACGGTCGGCTGCAACTTGGCAGCCGCCGACTCGGATCTAGGTAAGCATTGAGGATTGCTCCGATTAGGAATCAGAAGTTAAAAAATCCGGTACGACTCATGGCGGAGTTCATATCTCGCGCTGGGATTGATGCGCTATTCAATGCACGATTGGCCGGTTAGGCTGCTAGTCGAGGGCCTCAGCTGATCAATGAACAGAAAAAAAACTGAAAACAGCGTCGCCAGAGCCTCCGTATAAGTCCAAAAGAAGTCTCGTGGCAGCCCGGACTCACGGAATCTTGCGCTCGAGGACCCCTGCCGTAGAAAGACGCTTGCCTGAGCCCGTGGTTCTACTCTTCTGAGGGCCCGATGACACGTTCTGCTGGGGACCGATCGATATTTTTCGCGCAATTTCTGATTTCGCTTAGCCTGATAGAACGAATTCGAAAAGGGATGGCTGTACGAATTCGGGATCGAATTCCGGAACGCAGCGGAACGAAGCCGAACGTGTCCGATGAGCTCCACTGTGCTCTCGAGTTGAGCTTCCCGCAGGTTCGCCTTTGATCGCTCTTTAAGAGTGCATCACGCTCTGTATTCGCGGGACGTCAGCGCGAATCGCAAGGCTAAGTCCACGATTAGACGTCGCGAGCAATCGTAGTGCGACATGGAATCACGCATCAATGGATATTATAATTTTATCATTATACATCCCCTTGCTCGGATTCTGCTGGAAATCTCGGGTTAGATCACAAGAGATGTATCCCCATCACTGCGCGGCACCGAACCTCACCGCAAGGGGCAGAGTTTATGACCCTTAATTCGAGACTTCGCTCTCCACGTATCGATTGGCGATCCGGTCCGCGTCGCGTCCCGGTACCCGGCTCATGACTCGTGGTCCCATCTCCTGGATGCGGGACGAAGTAATTCTAGCGGGGGCTCTCCAAGAAGCCGTCGGGGGAGACGGATGCCGATAGTTCGGACTCCGACCACCATCACGTCTAATACTAACCGAGTAGAAGAGATCGGGGAACCTCCCAACCGGAAGCTCCGATTCAATAAGAATCTCCGATCATCCCTTCCTCTTCTGACCTCCGGTCCGGAAGGAAGGTAAATGAAGTCAGGATGTACCTACAGCTGGCGGTTCTATTGCGGTATGAGCAGCTGATTCGATTCTCTCTCGTTCTCCCTCACACAGAAAGGCGAACAGGAGGCTGAGTTCCCATGTCATACTCTCACATCCCGGAGTTCCGGTGCTATCAGGATGTATTGTACTGACATCAGTCGAGTCGCGAACTGGGACCTCGCTTGGCTTCGTCATTGCTATTGAAGCTTTCAGCCTCTGTTGTTAACTCGCGGGGGTGGGCTGAACAGACGTATCGATCGGAAAACAGGGGGAAATTCGTTCGACTGAGAAAAAAGAACCCGGAACCTAGGATTCCAGAGCGTTCCGTCCCTCTCCCGAAGTTGAGCTACGATGCCGCGAGAACTCACCGCAAACTGATATTCCAACATTTCCCAATGCACGCTCGAATGAAGCTCTCGGCCTAATTACAATATCTCCCAAACTGCTCATGGCGTCGCGATCCGCGACATCTGGGCACTTCTAGTGAATTCTCTCGATTGACGCTTGTTGCGTGGTCCTGTATCCGAGCATCATCGTGCGCCTTGTCATCATCAAGAGCTATCTTCTCTTCCCCAAATCGACTCGAAGATCGGTCTCAGGAATCTGTCAATTCAGCTTAGAAGTCTCCCGGGACCATCGAGACCTTCTCTGTCCAAGGCAGATAAATCTTTGGACTCATTTCCAATATTCTGATGAGACCACGAAAACCCGATGAGTCTTACTAGTGGTGGAATATGCTACCCGAGAATGAATCTCGCTGTTTTTGAGAGAAAGGCCGTTACCGAGCCCCCAGTGAAAAGGTATCGCAGAATCGAGCTCGGTACTGGGCTA